CGGATACTGAGTAAAGTCGCCTACGTGAGATGGAATGATTTCCTCCGTTTGAATATCAGAGGAGCCGTTTTTATGGCTGTGTAGATGGATCAAGAATGAATATTGAGAATCGTGTTAGGCAAATTATGAAAGGATGCAGCAAAACGGCACTTGGACAACACAGCTTAGAGAACATTGGATAAAATCAGAATCGTGGAAATGCAGCAGGTCTCCATTGCCTACGTTAATAATGCATTATGAGGTGGAATGCCAGAACCCAATGCATGGGTAGAGGGAGGGATGGATGAATGGAGCAATAGAGTGTGTTCGCCGTGAAATGACTGGTAGTGTGAAGAGCTAGAGAAACTTGTGAAGAGTGGAAAGGACTGCGCACTAACATCGGTCTGCGTTGAGACGTGGTTGGGGTCAAAAATGGCTAGTCTCTCAAAATCTCTCAAAGTCTCTCAACTGCGAGGCATATAAGAACAGGAAAGAAAGCATAAGCGACACAAGTACCGAGGCATCCCATCTACGCTATCTGATTCCAAGAAAATGGAAAGAGAGGAATGCAAAGTGAACCATGTAGAAATTCATTTTACCTATTATTATTATTGTTTCAGACACGACATGCTCTATTAACATCTGCACAGTAAGCCTTGATCACAGGCTAACACACGAAATATTTGTCAGGCAGAATGGTAACGCCTTCACATGCATTTTTGTAGCAAAAGTACTTGTCAAGCGGAATCGTAACGAAATAGCAGCCAGTTGGCTCAATTGGACAAATCAGTTGGAATGAGATGGGTGCCAGACCCATACACTCGCAACTGATTCTTGCAAAAGAGGCAGACACATCAGTTGTGGGGATGTCGTTTTCAGCTTACCTAATCGCATAAGGGAGATGGCGTTATGTGCCAACTCTGGCAGATTCTTTCCATTTGCCATTAGGGGATGTCAGCAGCTCTGAGTGAAGTGGTCAATTCAATGGGCGATGACAGATGCATCATTGAAGTCCTCTGGTACTCCGAGGATCTCCTCATGCGCTACACACTACTGATTTCCGCAATGCCGCAATGGCAGTGCGCCATTTGTTCATGTATGTCAGTGAGAGGCTTTAGATACTAAAAGATTGACGGTCTCGCCTTGTATTCTACGGAATAAATGCATTTAAAGCTGTAAAGTGTAGCAAGTCAGTAAGGTAGTCCTCCAATGGAATAAATCAGTCTGGTTCCAGGCATAAACGCATCCGTTTCATGAACAGAATCTGAAAATATTGCTTGGTGTAAATGACCAGGGTAGGCATTCCATTTTTCCCATATTGGAGCAATTGGGCACAAAGAACATGAGACTCAACGGAATGGCAGCCAATCCTCTCTTCTTGTTTGACATTGACTGCATTGCCTGTTAAGTCAACGGCGTCACATGCCAAACAATGCGTGTCTGTAACCAGGGTAATATGAACATATCTACGTAAATTGCCTATTTTTGAGAAAATGAGGTGTAATTGCTGAATTCTTCTTTCATACCACAAAAAAAGCAGTTTGTCTTCTTTGCCATCTTTGTTGCCTATTTCTCAGACATTCCAATATTGCGCTCTTCTTCCATCGCTTCATGTGTTAGGATGCCATGTACGATCCGCATTATCTGCACTGGCTGCCACATCATCTTAGCAATCAAAAGAATGTGTTCTAGCCAAAGCAGAACCTGTAGAAGCCTCACCTCAAAATGAAGCAACAAACGAATTGCAAATGTTGTCACTTCATTGACATCCCACCACATGTGGCTTGTGCATTCGAATATGGAGCTGGACGAGCAGTGTGGCATTACTTCCTCCACATCCGTCTCCATCCATTCTACATATTTGTACAACTTGCAGTTTAATGACAGAAGAAGTGTGGATACTACTGATTTCTTTGCTAGCATGTAGTGAAAGTTGCAAACAAGCAGATGAGCAAGTAAAAAAGTGAAATTAGCAAAGTGACTCGTATGCCAACTAATTTCATCACAGAATCTGTTACGTGGCACTCACAAGCATGCAGCATGCCACACTCTCCTCTATTCCTTTGTCGTGCAACTGCATTGTCTCGAGTCTTCCTTGTGGGCGTTATGCCCCCATTTCCCCAAGCACCAAGTTCTTGCCGTAGAACAGGTTTCCCTTTTATGTGTTTGTACTGTGACTCCCTTACTTTCTACCTACATACATTCTGTGCACGCCCAACCAGATGAGAAGTGTGTTGTGTGGTCTAAGGAAACGTTCCAACTTATCATGCATCTGAACAAATTGTGAAATCATCAGATTCGATTCATATCACCCTCTGTAAGTCATATTTCCTCTTAGTAGAGGATGACCTCGCATGGGACTCAAATGGGACTGAAGTATCTGTTGGTTTGTGTGGGTATTAGGCACAGAGGAATCTCACCTACATTCAGCTTATTTCGCACACACTACAAACACACAAACAATTCGCTGTCAACTTCAATGGCATGGCAAGAACGATGCAGCAATCGCACTCATCAATGGAGTGAGTGGTGGTGTCACCAGCCACCTGCGGTGTCAGAGTCGTGGGTTGAAAGGAATGGATTGAAGGGATGAGTGCTCGCTGTAGTATGGGGCGTGGATGAATTGTA